GCAGCAGCCAATCGGAGGCGAGCTCCGGCTGAGGAGTGAGTACAGTAATAGTAGGACCTGAAAGCACATGAATATATAAACCAGATGAGGTAATGGATTAGTTGTAGAGTCAGCGGAAGATGATCAAGACATGTTTAATTTCACTATTGAACACTTAATGTGATTAGATTTTTTTCTTCATGTTATTATGATCAATTTTTAATAAAATTTGATTACATTACATTCTAACTGCAGCTAATGCTGACACAATTTGTCACTTTCCTATGGGCTCAGTAAAATGGCAGTGTTGGGCATTTAACACCAAACAATTCATCCTAAATATTTGCAGATAGTGCAGAGAGACTGAAGCTTATTTTAGTAAAAACAGCAAAACAATGCCACGCCCATGCAGCAGCCCGACCTCTGACCAGCACTGCCTTGTAACATCTCCCAGCCGCTTGCCTCCCCTTTAATAAGCACACAGAGCAGCAGCCAGGGCACAGCTGAAACCGAGCAATGCACCAACACCCTTCAAAGATGGCCCGCGAGGCGATTACTGAGGTCTTGTGCTGACATTCTACTACTCAACTGCAGCATGAGGATCCACGTGCCCTGCTGCTTTACTGTGGGAGAAAAACTACGCCCTCCCCACCCCAGCCAGGCACAAACACAGCGCGCAGTGTCACATGGGCTCTGCCGTGGAGATGCTGAGCGCTTGCCTTGGGTGTGGAGGGGGGATGGGGAGAGGCAGCAGCAAGTGTCTGTGTTTATGTCTGAAATAATGTGGGTCTGTGTAAAAAAAAAAAAAAACGCATTGCTCAGTTTTGTTTCTGTATATGGTATTAGACTAAACAGTAATTTAGGTGAGAATATGTGCTGAATGTTGAGTGTTTGGAAGGGGAGGGATCTAAAGCATCACACTGGGGCTGAGGCGGCTTTAAACTTGACCTAGATTCTCCGGGTGACACGCCACATCACATTAGCCCGCTCGGCCAGACCTGGACCCGCCGCAGCTCACTGGCAGCGGCCTGAGTCGACAGGCAGAAAATGGGGGAGCACTCCCCAAAATGGGTCTGTCATGTACCTCTGGGCTCTTCCTCCCCCACCTGACAGTCTCCTGCCAATTCAACCCATCTGACTGGATTTGATTACCTCGTAGCTGCACCTCTATATTGCAGCACCCGGGTAAACATCAGCTAATGTCCCCTTACCCAGATTCTGTCAAATCAAAACAAGCCTACAGGAGGACCGACTCACTGCAGCGATACTTGAGGGGACATCCACTATCAACTGCAACCACACAGGCAGTTAAAAGTGCTCCAACAAAGCCTCCTGCATGAAATCACTGCAGCTGAGATGAACCCAATCAGCCTGAATGAAACGCAACACAGTTTGTCCAGAGAAGCAGATCAGAGAGGAGGATGAAAGTGGGCGCGCCTCATCCACGGCTAAGCCCCTCTTTTTTGGACGGCGACTGATGAAAGTTGGAAACCATGGCAACAGGCACATATACAAGAGTCAGTTAAAAATGCTTTCTCCATTGAAATCGAGCTCTATGAGGCTCGAAGCGCCGCTCCTCAGTCACACCAGTACAACACTTCACACCATCACACAGAGAAATGCTGACAGCAAGAACTGATTTTAATTTCAGATCAACACATTTTGAACCAATCAAAAGGCTGCTTCTACAATACCATCAGATTTTGTTTCTCCTCTGCATCAGCTGAACATGTGCCTCAGAAGGAAGCCGTCCCCACCCTGCCCTTGAGAGTCCTATGACTCCTCTCTAGGATGTGTAAAGAAATCATTATGTGGGGTACACTGGCTCATAGTCATCGGCCTATGCAGCCACCTCCGAACCCCAGGTGCACACAGATCTCACTCCTCCTTCTAAAACAGCCCCAAACCATCATTACTTGACTCACTTTCTGAATGACTGTGACTCACCAGTGTCACTTAGATCTCATGCATTAAACTTAACACTCCAGAGCATTCAAGGGGAGGCTCATCATTGTTAAGGCAGAAAAACTCCTGACATAAATCAAAGTAATACAGTGAAGCATCACCTTAAATACTTTTCCTGCACAGTATTAACCTAACAGGATTCTGGGTGGGGCACAGTGGAGGTTTTGGAGGGATGATGAGTGTCAGATTGAAGGGTAAGAGAATTTTCTTTCAGCATGAGTGGAGTGCCATCTGGAGGAGGATTAGTTAGCAAGACCACTCCCAACCTTACACAGCAGCTTTAGGGATGCTTATGCTGACAACACTTATGAGCTGTTGCTATAAATCTGTCATTTGCAAAAAGTCTTTGCAGAAGATAACTGTGGATTTCTGACCCTGGTAACATGTCAGGTTTTTATGGGATGTGGCTCAGCATTGATGACTGATCCAACAGCGCCATCCAGTGTTAAACTGAAGGCATGTCAGGAGATGTGAGTGAGCAATACAGTAGATGAAATGCATAGAATTCAAATGACATTTTCTACACAAAAAAGTTAATTCCATGCTACATATTAATCTGCCTGACATGGAGGCTGCAAAGGACAAAGGACATTCTCCACACCGGAGAGTCACATGGTGTCAGCTCTCCACTGGCATAAATTATAGATACACAAGCAGATGCTGGGTGGCTGTAGCCGACAACAAGCCACTGTGTTCGGCATCCACTCGTACATATAATCTCAAATGCAGAAGGTGGGGTTCAAAGGAGTCTTCCAAATGCTGAGTAAAGAGGAAACTAGGTGACATTTCCATACAATATAAGGGTCAATTTGTCAAATAGGCCAAGACTACTAATTTTTATTTTAATTGCTGACTATATTTTCTGATAGGGTAAATAAAGTTACACAAGGTAGTGAGTTGATGTATTTATTATATTTTCTCTGCACAACCCCTCACCTACACAGGTGTAACACTACTGGGCTCTACCAGCTGGGGGCAGTATTGATCCAGTTATCATCCTTCGCAACAGCACAGCCAAGAGAAGCTTCACCTCAGGCTACTGTTCAACACCTCCCCCCGCTCATCCATCTAATACATCCTGTATATGTCCACACAAAACTCAACAACACTCTCCATTTGTAATGCAGCATGCATTACACTGTCTCAGGGCTGTGCACTGCCTGCAGACTAAAATAGCTAGCCTTTCAGGCTATTTTAATGAATGGATTTGAGTCTTACTAGGGCACCGCCAGCAGCTTTACATTAGCATACACACACACACACACACACACCACAGAGCTCTCATGGGGATATGCCAACTTAGGGATCCCACTGTAACAAACCACATGAGGTTTAGCTGTCAAGGCACGGTGCAGGATTCCAGCACCGCAGAGCACCAAAGCAAATGTGTCATTGTGACAAGCTCCAAAGAGACAACGAAGAAAGTACAACAGGGGTGGGCAGACATGCAGGCAAGGTAGAAGTCATAAAGGAATTTTTTTTTTTTTTTTGCTGCAAAGGGAAACGTAAGTAAATCACCATCTTAGAAAAAATAAAATCTACACATTGCTAAAATATTCTACATAACAAGTAGGTCAACTGAGACTAAAACCACTGAAGGTCAACAACGTAACCATCAAACTAAATTAAAACATCAAATCTGAGTCTTATGTCAGAGGCTGTCATACGAGCAGTGACCTTGCGGCCAGCCTTTATTTAAACACACTAGCCATGGTGGGGAAATGGAAAGCACCTACATTACTCAGCTCCTTCTTATGGTCCACAATGCACTTCATTTCCTGAGAGAGCACTACACATACACCCACAGCACAGCACATAAACGCTATTGTAGTTGCACCAGAGGCAGACTTGCAAGTCTGCATAACTACAAACTCCAACAGTAAGTTTTTGCTCATGTGTACACTCCAATTAGAAACAGCAATGACTGCAAATAAAGTTGTAAGCTGTCATTTCATTAACCCTCGTCATAACATGAGCTCAGAGTTCTTCTTGTACCCGAGATTAAACTAAAGATTTTCACAAGCTGACAGTGCTCAAATGGAATTTCTCAATTTTGATTAGTTTTTAAAGTGAAAGTGTTATTCTTTGTTAAATTCGGAAGGCAGGAGCTGAAAAGACACAGGAAGGTCATCATTTGATTATACACAGGCTAAGGAACATTGTCCATAGAAAGCAACATAATGTTACATGCAGTCTGAAGCTGGTACCGTCCTAGTTACAATGTTTTACCTAAAATGTAACTTGGCTCCATTTTTCTAGTCCGTACTTTTACATGCGTCAAATGTATACGAGGTGCATAATCAACACACAATTCAAACAGATCTGCAATAAACAGCAAGGTAATTGAGTCAACAGTTCTATGATTTCTTTCCCTCCCACCTACACTCAGCCAACATCAGTATGGAAAACACCACCGGTGGAAAAAGGCAAAGTAACTGACTCAGATGTCATGTAGAGTGAGCGCCATGACCTAACTTGCTTTAAAACAACGGGAGAAATGTCTGTTACTCTCAATAACCTGTTTTTCCAGGCACTGCGGTCAATTCAAATTAGGATCAGATATGACTTTTGTCCTGGACTTGGGTAGAAATAGATATGAACAAATATCAACGTGCAGATATTAATCTGATGCGTATGAAAACAGCAGCCAAACTTTGCATTGATACATATAATGTAGACATGCAGCTTATGGACTTAGACAAGGGGAATTAAAGCAAACAGTAGGTTTGCATTTTTTTTAAACAATACTCACACACTATATGTGTTAGAGATACTGGTGGTAAGAGTTTTGTGACTATACAGGCTATAAAGAGTTCCCTTCCTAATGTCATCCCAGTATAAGAGATGGGAGATAATTTCCACTGTCTAATGCATGGATATGGCTAAAAATGCATTCTTAAGTTCAAGCACAGCCAATACCTTGACTTCGTCAGTGTGAACCAAACATATTAAGTATGTAACATCCAAAGATCTAGTTGTTTTTTTTATTTATGAAAATATGTTGTATTACATTATAAACAACACTGAATATATTGATAACTGACTTCTAGAAGTCCAAACTGCCTTTAGCTGAAATGTGAAATTCATTTTTGCACAGAACAAGGACGGAAGATTTTGGTCCCCATCACTTACACTGTTGAACCAATGTACAGTTAGTCGATTAACTGATACGTCGTGCTACAGAAAATTCATCAGCAGCTACTTTAATATTCAGTTAATTGTTCCAAGTATTTGGCAAACAAACAATGAAGCTTCCCAGTTGAGAGCTTTATTCATTTTTCTGTTGTAGTGGATCCAATTTCTTCAGGTTTTTGACTGTTGTTGGGAATTTGTCCTCAATTTCTTAACATTAAGCCAACCCAGCAATAAATTGATACAATAACCTGCAGATTCCCCTCTAATGAAAATAATAGTTGTAGTGGTAAACCAATCCTTTAAAGCTTTTCCCAGGCTACAGGTTCTATTTTGTATGAGGACTTACCAGCAGTGGAGGTGTGTGGCTGTCAGTCAGGAGCAGGGAGGCCCGTCCTGGTAGATGGCCCCAGGTCACTGTCCTCCAGCAGGTCAGCCTCTGAAACAAACACCAACAAACTTGACTCTCTAAGCAAATGCCAGCAGCTAAAGCTAAGCTGTGGCATCATTCAACAAAATGCAACCCAGCACACAAGTTGTGAAATCTTACAGAATACCTTGTCCGTGCACTGGTTTGCCCCTCAAGACTGCACATTATCTCCTTTCACTTTTAAGCAAGGTGCCAACACCAGAAATTACAGAAAAAGGGAAATACAACAATACTTGAGACGTTCAAGGCATCGTGCGGAGGATGCAGTAGCAGGGCAGTTCTTATGATCCACTGTACCTTTCTTGTGAAATGTGGGCTAATTTCAGTTTTTAAAAAACATGGAACAATCACATGTGCAAAACAAACACACACAACTTCCTATTGTGCAACACTTCCTCTGATTCACTTCAGGTTTTGTATAAAAGGTCCGTGCTTCCTCTTGTGAGAGCTCAATGACGTAATCCAACTCATGTTTATGACTCTTCATTTAAAAGACAACCGACTCAAACTGCCAACTAAAGAGTGAAAACTTATCAATTTGTGATGAACACATTCAGCCTAAAACACACATGTGAAAGGCTCTGACCTAGTTTCAGCCCAAAGTAAGGCAACAACAATTGCGGTTTCGGTAAACCACAAGTTGTGCAGCCCTGATTGACAGTACAAGCTCATTAGACAGAGACCATTAGGACTGAGGCACTTCTCCTTTCGCCAGCGGCAGTGTTGGTCATGCACAAATGTCAGACCTTGAAACTTAAGACCCACAATAACAATGAGAGCTGTGGGGAGAAAACACAATTAAATACAACACTGTGAAAAGGGGCAAACTACAAAAATAAAAGCAATAAGTAGAGTAGATTCTGAAATAAAATAGAAGCATCCTTGTGAACCTGAAAAATGATAGTGTGACAGCCCCTTTTCTTAACCCTCCTACAGAGGATTTTATTCCTGCAAACTGACCGCGACTCGCTCTTAATCCAGTAGAGCTGACATGTCACAGGGGACAGTCTGGGTGCCAGGCTGTTACAGGAGCCAGCTACGCATCACGGCTACAGCTGGGGGCCACAACATATGGGCAATCAGTGCTTGAATGAGCACACAAGCTTATAGAGGTTGGCCTTAAATCTACACTGTGGAAAAGCACATTAGGATTTCACAATGATTTTCCTGCTTCGTGGATTTATGAAGCCTCAACAGTAAAACAGACTTGGTTTGTTTCTCTGTGAAATTACCTCAACAAGTGCAGCCAGGGGTATTACAGCAATGAAGTCTGGAGCGTTAAAACAACAAGTTACATGTCTTGCACCAGTGATTGATGCAATTCAAACTGAAAAAGTTGCAATGTTGAAAAACACTGAGCAGCTGTTCACAAATTTAAAAGTGAATCATTTAAAAGTGTCAATACTATACCAGTGTTTTGGTACCGATTCCTAATCAGTCTTTTTTCCTTTCTAAAACCACTATTTTGAGGAATTTGGAAGATAATAATATACAAAGACAAACTTTTCAAATGTTGCCTGAATACAAGCAGAAAGAACTGACGAACCAGTGAGCAAGCATTCAATGCCAGCTTTTGGTATTTTACAAGAGTCTACCACCATTAGGAACAGCCGAACCTCGGCTAAATGCTAATGCCAGTGTTCTAGCATGCTAATGTTAAGCAGGTAGAGTATAATGCTCACCAGCTTAGTTTTGACCATCCACTGTACAAAACGTGGACACCATTTCAGCTCCCAGAAGCGACACCACTGCGAGTCGAGTCGCTCGCCCCCTGGTGGTTGGCTGCAGTAAGCCTTGCACTCTATGTTAGTGGATGGGACATGAGCCAAACTAAAAACTCAAAGTACAAAGTAAATAGATTTTTCCCAGAGGTGACTTCTGTTGTTTCTGGTTCCAATTTTTATTTGGATGTTATGATTATGGAATAATCTGTTGATTATTTACCACTAGAGCAAACATCACTTCATAAAACGTGTTTGTGTGACACATGGCAGGATGACACATTTTCGTACTAGACAAGCATTAATGTGCAGGCAGTTGCTGTTAAAAGTATGTGAGTGTTTGATGCTGCGAGGGGTGTGAGAATGAAGGTTTGGTGCGGAGGCAGCACAGAAACGGTTTTGTGCAAAATCTGAATCTCTACCCTGCTGATTCGCCATCTGTGGCACACGGCCCCCCTCCCCCCCACTCTGTGCGTCCGCTGAGGTGTAGGCGGCCACATGAGGATGTCCTGTGTGCTTGGTAACAGTACAGTAAGCTTAATTTCTGTCTATTGGCTGCAGCAATAAAATGTAGTTCAATGTGACCAAGTGACTAGATTTGTTAACAATAGTAGGACAGTTAAATAATTGGTCTGCTTCAAAGATCCTGCAGGTTTTCTCTGTGCATGTGTGAAAGTTATGGGAGTGGAGGCGCATAAACCCACAGCTTTTTCCCTTTGAGTGTCCTGTGTTATTTATAGCTTCATGTTGAGAGATTCAGTGTAAAGTCTGCTTAGATTTTTTATTTTTTTTTGCTGCATTTATTCTAAACATGCTGCTGCATCCTGCTGGAGGTCCGTGGATGCCCTGCCTGCTTGTTCCTCACTACATGCATACTTGGAACTTCAGATGAGGCAGCTTCTAATGACGGAAATGAGAGGGTTGAAAGGAATGCTCAAGACTACCAGCTCTGCAGATCAGAAACTGGCACACACGCTGACTCACACACACCCCAAACGCATACTACACAAGCCAGCAATTCTACCGCAGGGCCTCCAAGGCTCCAAACATCTTACTCCGCTCATGTATTAAAGTAATAAGCCTGTTTGTGGACTGGACAGCTAAGAGGATGCAAAAGCATCTGATGCTTCCACATATAGGTTTTAAAGCAAGCTGTAGCCTTGTAGATTGTACTGATTAAACTAAAAATCAAGACATTGTTGGTGATATCCACTCTAACAATTTAGCTGTGTCCAGAAACAGGCAGGCAGGCTCCAATGAGGCTACAGTCAGCCTTTGGTGGTGAATGACACAAATACGTCATCATTTCAACTAGGATCTGCTTGTGGACAAGAGCAGGCATGCAGCAGTGATGGGAAAATGAGAATTAGCTGAGATTACTCTTAGCACAGAGAGGTCTATGACAAACGGCACTATTTCCACAACAGTAAACGAAGTATTTCCCTGGTCTTGACAATAAGTAAACACTGTAACATGAGCTCCTTTAAAACAACAAGAGACAGCATTATAGAGACTGAATGGTGCTGAAGTCACCGTCTCGTCTGCATTGACCCATGTCATGACAAAGCAAAACACTGGCCAAATCAGTTCGAGGACCTTAATGCAAATAACTCCACAAACAGCATTGTTCCATAGAAACGGATCGATACGCCTCAGGCAGCAGCATGTGACCAAGCACGCACCCTGCAGTATGATGAAAACAGCCCTGCAAAAACCCATCAGTCTTAAAATATAGTCGGGATGCCCTGTAGCTGATCTTAGGAAAAGCATTAAAGTCTTTGCGGCCAACAAAATAAACACACACTGGTTGTCTAAAATATCACAACACTGAAGTCAAACCACAGAGCGTTGCATTAGCTGAACATGTTGCAGTAGTGAGTCAGCTAGACAAGACGTTCGGCGTGTGGATCCACTAGCCGCCACAAATACAATTAATAGTCTGACTGTCAGTAGCAGACTACAGTGAAGCTCTTATTGGGGTATAACTGTAGTAACCCAAACTGAAGCCAGTTGTCCAGTGATGCCGGGCATAGCCAAGGGAGTGGGCTGCAGAGAGGGGTCTGGGCTCCTCTGGGGCTTTGGGACAGTCCTGTGAAGTAGCAGGTTTTTCCACTGCAAGCTGCCCTAATTTTAGAATATGTAAAAAAATATATATATATTGAGATCAGAGATTTTACTCTCAAATCTGTTTTTCAGTAGGGATTCAATAAGCACATTTAGAACTGGATTCAGAGTAAAATAAAAAGCTGTTGAACATCAGCCTTACATTTTAGGAGAACAAGACCATTAAGTCCTTGTTCTAATGTGGCTCTGTTTGCAGGACTGGGTAGCCCTGCCCTAAATATACTTGAAAGGACTACTGGAAAATGATTAATAATTAAAATAACCATATTACACTGACTGTGTTCATTTACCCTCACGTGATGAACCCCAGATACAGTACCTATAGTTGTCCAAAAACTTCCCTTAAGGGATTCCAGGGTTCAGTAGCTCCCTGAAAACATCCCAGCTGATCAAAACGTGAGGTCACTGTTCCTATTGTTATTTAATGACAACAAAACTCTCCAAGACTAAGAGTCAAAAGCTATACGAAACCATTTCCTTTTCTGGGGGGCTTCTTTGTTTTGCATGGCAATGCTGCTGCACAATATCAAATCAATGTTTAAACTCCTGCACGTTACTTCCTGACTGCACAAAATTTCACTTTCCAGTGACAAGCAGCCTTTCCCCTCACTTCTGCAATCTTTGTACATGCTGCTGAAACTCTTCCCACACAGTACTAAAGAATTATTAGCTCCAGACCAAGTGAGTTTTGACCTCCTTCAGAAGTCAGTTCATCTATTATCCCATCTGTTCACACCACTGCAGACAGGGCATGGCAAACAGCACAAGTCGTACCATGTCTTGGAGTCCTACGACTGCAGAGGAACTCGAGTATTTATCATGTTTTTTCTTGTCCGCATTCACACATCCATGAACTAAACCCATGACTGCAGAAATGTGTCCATCCATTAGAAAATATAGACATGAGGTGTGGCACATGTAAGGAAAACAAAATAACCTGGAGACATGTTTTATTTCCTCACCAGTTAAACTTGGTTAACCACCACAAACGGCTCACGCCGTTTTGCGCTGGCTTGCAGTAATGCGAGGATGAATGACACCCAACAAGACAGTAACTCTTCACCACACGCCTCCTTTTAAGAGCCACGCCTAAAGAGCTGCTTTACGTTGTTGGTGACACAAGTAGGAAAAACATCCAAATTCTGGCAAGTGGAGAAAAAAAAAAAGACTGTTTCCATCTTAAAAGTAGCAGGGGGTCACAGTGTGTCAGGCACTGAGTTACACCTCTGCAGCTTCCCTGGCCTAAGTGTTGCAGACAAGGTCTGATTTGCACAGAAACCATGAGACCGTGGAGACAAATTCAAGTAGATGTTGCATCAAAACCACAACTGAGAAGCACTTGCCTAACATACAATCAGAGTTAGCTTACTGGGTGTTTCAATTCAACTTTCTGGGCCTGTGCACAGACTGGGCAGAAAGGAAACTACACATTTTCTGTGGTTCTATAGGGAACTGATGTAAAAGACAAAACTGTGCTGATCCCAGCAGTGAGCAGAGTAGATTTAAATAAACTGATTTTCTCAAGTACAACTTTAGATACTTGCACCCAAATATGTCTATTCTGTAACTTTATATTATATGTGAAAGGGAAATGATGCACCTTTGCTCCTTAACATTTATTTCACAACTGGAGGTACTTCACACTACATTTTAGAGGTAAATCTTATACTCTTTACTGCACTACATTTACTTGATAATTTTAGTTACTGTTCAGAATCAGGTGAATAAAGCAAAGTACAATATGATATTAATGCAGGAGTAATTATATAATATGCATTATTCTGAAAACAATCTTCAAGTAATTTTTAGTCTTACATTTTGCTGAGAATACTTTTGTACCCAAGCAACATACTGACAACTTAAAGAGTTCTTCTACCACTAGAAACATTACATTTCTGCTTCATCCTAGTGCATCAACAACAATAAAACCATAGTTTTTGCTCTTAATATCTTGCCCTTTTACTAATGTAAGACTTTGAATTCAGGACTTTTGCATGTCAGAGTATTTTCCATTATGGTACTACTCCGCTTACTAGATGATCTGAACACTCGCCACAGGCTGAGAGTTTGGAAACCTACAGCCAAATGTTTTATGATGCTCTGTTGAGAATGAAAATAACCAAAAGATAAAGCAGCTATGAGCACATCCCAGTTGTCAGAGTGTGCATTTCCTTTAATGCAGCTTTAATGATCATCCACTCCCTGACAGCCAGCAGTCCTATTCCAGGACATAGTTTGTCTGAAACAGTGCTAATGACCATGAGGCCAAACACATCTGATAACCTGAATGTAGTATATATGGGTCAATGATGTAACATTCAATGCCTCTGGATAAATAAAGGAAAAGTCAAGCTTGAGGTGTAGCTTTGAGAAAGCTACCGTTGATCTGAGAAGAGGAAGTTAACGGTGCATCGAGGATGTAGTCAAAGAAATTCTGTTGTCTCACTACTGAACAGTACAGCAACTTAAAAAGAGTAACGAATTTCATTTCGCCAGATACGCTTATGATTTGCTTTTAGTTTTGCCTTCCAGTAACGCTCAAAACAAGCGTCAGTGAACGGCAAAGGGTGGAGAGTAACGGACAACAGCGGCGGCTAGTTAAGAAGGCATTCGAAAGCGATATAAACAAAGCGGTAATAAAATTAGTGATTTTCTGTCTTTTACCTTGATGCTTGGAGAAAAACAGAGTCGACGGCTGCTGGAGAGCACGCTAGAAGGCAGCGGTGTCGGCTGGCAGAAGAAAAGCGATGTGCGGTTGCCGTTTCCGGGTTAGTTAAGGAGCGTCATCGCGGCCGTCAAACGTTCACCTCTGAGCGCGCAGGCGGAACTTAAACCCCCCACTCCCTTGACTGGCGATATCCCCGCCCGGTCCGTGGAGACCCGCTGCATTGGTGCAACTTTGACTTAAATCGGACTGACCACCGCTGCTGCTGCTGCTTTAACTAGGATCTCTACCCACTGGAAGCCGTATGGACACACCGTCCTTGAAGCAGGCGCCCACTACCGAAGTGTCCCTCCGGAGGAAGTTAACGTATAATGATACCAGGGGGCGCTGTTGTGTTATTTGACCCTCTATTTGACCCCAGAATCCTTACCTGATAAGACACTGGTACAGGAAGTCAGAAACACTTGCGTCCCGTTAGATCTGATCCCGCAGACATGAACAGACAATTTCACCAACCTGAAAATGTCTTTATATTCTACGGAAGAGTATTAGGGCCACTGCATAATTTTTTTTTAATTCTGACTTTAAACTCAGAAGTATGGGTACCTGTAGGGATCCAAGTTCAGTGAGTGCCTTTGAGTCATGCTGGAGAGGAGCTACGTGCTGAATCCGACATTTTCTGGGCAGCACGTAGCTCCTCTCCAGCATGACTCAAAGGCACTCACTGAACTTGGATCCCTACAGGTACCCATACTTCTGAGTTTAAAGTCAGAATTCTGAGATTAAAGTCAGAATTCTGAGAATAAAGTCAGAATTAAAAAAAAAATTATGCAGTGGCCCTAATACTCTTCCGTAATATTCTAATGCTCCTGCAATGACAAGTTTTGTCTCATTTAATAACATCTGCATCACAAACCAGGGGACTTCTAATGTGAAGTGTATTGTACCTACCATTAGTGATTATATGGCTCTTTCTTCACTTTCTAGGTTTCCTATTTAACCAAGACAAGAACCCCGATAAACAATCAAGTTTCTTTACTGTACCATTAAAAACATAGGCTATTGCTAGTCATTTTCCTTGTGTGTGTTTTTTTATTTTTATTTTTTTACATTTTATGGTCATGTCTTTTAGAGCAAGCCAGGCCCACTACACCTGCTTTAAGACTGCCATCACACTGGGTGGTAGATTTTAAAGGATAACTGATAACCTTTTGTTACAAGCTGTTTCTCATATCAAAATTACCATTGTCAGTTTTCCCTAAAGCCGGATAACGCCAGCTAATCATCATCAGCACACCTGTCTTCAATGATGTGTCCTGGCCATGTGCGGCTTATAAAGGTGGTGCAAAGCTCGAG